AGGCTGCATCCTTTCACCCGATCTGTTCAACTTTTATGCAGAACATATTGTAAGGAAAGCAGGCTTGGACATGAGCGAGGGAGGAGTGAAAACAGGAGAAAGAAATATCAATAATCTGAGATATGCAGATGACACCGTAATACTAGAAGAAAACATCATAGGCTTGAAACACTTCCTAAGGAAGGTCAAAGAAGAAAGCGCCAAGGCAGGCTTAATGTTGAACATCAAGAAAACAAAAATAATGACCACTGAGGAGGAGGACCTTCACAAGTTCGACCTGAAAAAATAGAAATAGTCAAAGAATTCCCATCCCTGGGATCAAACATGGATAGAAATGGGGACTGCAGTCGGGAAATCAGAAGAAGATTGAAGAATGGGGAAGGTGGCTGTGAAAGAACTAGAAAAGATCCTAAAATGCAAAGATATACAACTCAGCACAAAAGTCTGAATCATACAAGCCATTGTATTCCTTATTACCATGGATGGATGTGATTGATGGATAGTCAAGAAAGAAGATAGGAAGAAAACCCATGCATTTCAGATCAATATGGTTCTGGAGAAGAGTGCTGAGGAGGATCCCATGGAGGAAGGCCAGAAGGACAATCCAAGGGGTCCTAGAGCAGATCAAGGCAGAAACCTCTCTGGAAGAAGAAGCCAAGATTACAAGACTTAGACTGTTGTACTTTGGACACCTCTCCTTCTTTGGAGGCTATCTTTAAACAGAGTCTGGATGGCCATCGGTCACAAGGGTTGCTTTGATTGTGAGTTCCTGCATGGCAGAAGGGGGGTTGGACCGGATGGCCCTTCTAGGGGGGTCTCTTCCAGCTCTATGATTCTATGATCAGATCCTAATCTGAAATATGGGAAAGTCCCTTTTGTGGGGCACCTGAACATTAGGAAGATCCTCCTGAGGCTAAGGGCTGTTTGATAGCGGAGGGCGAGCGGAGGAGTCTCCTTCTGGGAGGTCTTTAAGCAGAAGCTGGGGGTGCTTCGATTGTGAGTTCCTGCATGGCAGAAGGCGGGGATTGGATTGGATTGGATTGGATTGGATGGCCCTTGTGTCCTCTTGTATGAAAAGGGTTCCCTTTCTTCCCACCTGGAAGGGAGCTGAGTTCATTTTCTGCACAATTCCTCGCCTTCCGCCCGCGTTCGAGGCCCAAGAACGGCATCAATGGAAGGCAATGGAAGACTTTCGGGACTTTTGGACCCGAAAGGTGATTCTTTTCCTATTAGTCAGGCTCTTAAGGCCTAATAATGGTTTCCTGATGAATCGTGCGGCATTTGAATCCAATCCAATCCCCCCTTCTGCCATGCAGGAACTCACAATCGAAGCACCCTCAACAAATGGACATCCTTTTCTTTTCTTTTTGAAAATAAAAATAAATATAAGAATAAAAATATAAAGCACACTTAGAGATATTAAACTGTGTCTATGACTCTCTGAGGCTGCGATTAGTCATAATAATAATAATAAATAAAATAATAATCTGGCTTTTGGTGAGAGAACCTGGCAGCTTTGCTGAGATCTTGAGAGTCTCAGCTTTCTTTAAAAAAGGGAAAAAGAGCAAGTTTCAAGCTGTTGCTGAAAAACAAATATATATATATATATATATATATATGTATATGCAAGAGCAAGGGCTCTCAGAGGCTGAGAGTCTGTAGCAGGGGGGGTCTAGGCATTGAAGGTCGGGCTTCTTCTCCATCTCTAGCTGCATCTACAATGTGGAAAGAATCAGGCAATGCTTCCCAAACTTAGTTCCTCCAGATGTTTCGGACTTCAGTTCCCAGAATTCCCGAGCGTTGGCCAAGATGGGTGGGGCTTCGCCGCCAAAAGGGGGCGGGGAGAGGAGGGCCCGTGTTGCCCAATCGCAGCCGAGGAAAGAGGAGAAGGGGCGGGGCTCATCAGCATACCTGGCCACGCCCACTTTCTTTCCGAGGAGGCGAGCGCTTCTTTATCCCGCAGGCCACGCCTCTTAGGAAGGGAGGGGCGGAGACCTCATTATTTATGCAAACCGCGCCCCTCCCTCCCTCCCTCCCTCCCTCCCTGCATTGGAAGAGAAAGACTTGAGTAGGAGGAGGATGT